GTGAGTGAGTGTGAGTAGGCCTGGCTGTGTGTGTGTGAGTGAGTGTGAGTAGGCCTGGCTGTGTGTGTGTGAGTGAGTGTGAGTAGGCCTGGCTGTGTGTGTGTGAGTGAGTGTGAGTAGGCCTGTGTGTGTGTGTGTGTGTGTGTGTATTTGAGTGTGAGTAGGCCTGGCTGTGTGTGTGTGAGTGAGTGTGAGTAGGCCTGGCTGTGTGTGTGTTAGTGGTTGTGTGTGAGTGTGTGTGTGAGTGAGTCTGAATACTCACAATTGCACCATCCACTCTCCGCTCAGGATCACCGTCCAGTTGGCGTCTCCCACCTGCTGCACAGCGGCCTCCAGCCCCGGCCCCGGCCCCGCGGCCCCCAGCCCCGGCCCCGCGGCCCCCAGCCCCGGCCCCGCGGCCCCGAGCCCCGGCTCCCCGCGGCCTCCCGGCGCCAACAGCAGCCACACAGCCAGAGCCACAGCCACAGCCATGTCCCCAGTCAGAGGGTGAGAGGGAGAGTTAACGTGAGTGAAGGAGTGAGAGAGACAGAGACTGAAGATGAGACACACTGTGTGGGAGGAGACTGACTGGAGTTGTGAGAGTGAGGAGGAGGAGGAGTGAAGGGGGAGAGAAGGGGTGGAGAGTAGCGGGAGGGGTGTGGAGAGAAGGGGGAGGGAGAGAAGGGGGAGGAGGGGAGAGGTGGAAAGAAGGGGTGGGGGGGGGTGGAGAGAAGGCGTAGGGGGGGGTGGAGAGAAGGGGTGGGGGGGGAGTGGAGAGAAGGGGTGGGGGGGGTGGAGAGAAGGGTGGGGGGTGGAGAGAAGGGGTGGGGGGGGTGCAGAGAAGGGGCGGGGGGGTGCAGAGAAGGGGCGGGGGGGGGGTGGAGAGAAGGGGCGGGGGGGTGGAGAGAAGGGGCGGGGGGGTGGAGAGCAGTGGTGGGGAGGGTGGAGAGCAGTGGTGGGGGGGGGTGGAGAGCAGTGGTGGGGGGGGTGGAGAGCAGTGGTGGGGGGGTGGAGAGCAGTGGTGGGGGGGGGTGGAGAGCAGTGGTGGGGGGGGTGGAGAGCAGTGGTGGGGGGGTGGAGAGCAGTGGTGTGGGGGGGTGGGGAGCAGTGGTGGGGGGGGTGGAAAGCAGTGGTGGGGTGTTGGAGAGAAGCAGAGAAGGTGTGGGGGGGTGGAGAGCAGTGGTGGGGGGGGTGGAGAGCAGTGGTGGGGGGGGTGGGGAGCAGTGGTGGGGGGGTGGGGAGCAGTGGTGGGGGGGTGGGGAGCAGTGGTGGGGGGGTGGGGAGCAGTGGTGGGGGGGTGGGGAGCAGTGGTGGGGGGGTGGGTGGAGAGAAGGGGTGGGGGTGGGTGGAGAGGAGGGGTGGGGGGGGGGTGGAGAGGAGGGGTGGGGGGGGGTGGAGAGGAGGGGTGGGGGGGGGTGGAGAGGAGGGGTGGAGGGGGGTGGAGAGGAGGGGTGGAGAGGAGGGGTGGGGGGGGTGGAGAGGAGGGGTGGAGGGGGGTGGAGAGGAGAGGTGCGGGGGGGTGGAGAGGAGGGGTGCGGGGGGGTGGAGAGAAGGGGTGGGGGGGGTGGAGAGAAGGGGTGGGGGGGTGGAGAGGAGGGGTGGGGGGGTGGAGAGGAGGGGTGGGGGGGGTGAGAGGAGGGGGGGTGGAGAGGAGGGGTGCGGGGGGTGGAGAGAAGGGGTGGGGGGGGGTGGAGAGAAGGGGTGGGGGGGGGTGGAGAGAAGGGTGGGGGGGGTGGAGAGAAGGGGTGGGGGGGTGGAGAGAAGGGGTGGGGGGGGTGGAGAGAAGGGGTGGGGGGGGGGTGGAGAGAAGGGGTGGGGGGGTGGAGAGAAGGGGTGGGGGGGTGGAGAGAAGGGTGGGGGGGGGTGGAGAGAAGGGGTGGGGGGGGTGGAGAGAAGGGGTGGGGGGGGGGAGAGAAGGGGTGGGGGGGGTGGAGAGAGGGGGGGGGGGGGTGGAGAGAGGGTGGGGGGGTGGAGAGAAGGGGTGGGGGGGGGTGGAGAGAAGGGGTGGGGGGGGTGGAGAGAAGGGTGGGGGGGGGTGGAGAGAAGGGGTGGGGGGGGGGGGGGGGGGTGGAGAGAAGGGGTGGGGGGGTGGAGAGAAGGGGTGGGGGGGGTGGAGAGAAGGGGTGGGGGGGTGGAGAGAAGGGGTGGGGGGGGTGGAGAGAAGGGGTGGGGGGGGGGTGGTGGAGGAAGGGAAGTTTATTTGTTCATTGCTTTCAGAAAGACCAACTTGGATGAGATGGAACTTGGGGAACTGGTGTACATGGACAGTCGTGTGATCCTACAGTCAGTCGCTGAGACTTTGAACTTCAATTCATCTTTTTTTTATTCAATTCAACTTCAATTCATCTGCCTGGTGCCGTTCTACACATTCTGGGTTCGAAATAGGCAGCCGCTGAAGGGCAACAGAATATCCATGTACTTTTAATATACTACAAACGAATGGTTCCACCCACTCGAATAAAAGAAAAGTGTTGACAAAGAGAATGAAATAGGATTAGACTAAATATAGCTCCTTCGAGAAGTTGATAGACATGCAAAATAGCAACCAAGAGCACCTGTGCTGACATTTCTAATCATTTTGCTTCACCTGATGGGTGTTGAATTTTGCAGAAATATTCCAGAATAAAACCTTACTACAGCAGCACTTTGAGACTTCTCCACCAAGGCACTATATCAAATGCAAGGATTATTATTAACAATTTGCATTTATATAGCATCCTTCATGTGGGGTTACAAGTCAGAAAACTTTATCATTGAATATGCATTTATAGTTGGCAATTAGTGCATTTTTCTTCAATACCTTTACTGTTGAGGAGCAGGAACCCTGAACATTATAGAGGCTGTGAAGACTGAAGGGTAATAAAGAGGATGGTATAATAATTATAATCCTTGCATTTGATATAGCGCCTTCTCATATTTTTAACATGTCTCAAAGCGCTTAACAGGATATATATGGTTTTAATATGAAACTTTAATACAGCAGAATAGCTCAAAGCAATGAGTGCTTTGAAACAGTGAATGTAATACTTTCCTATCAGAAAGTTTGCACATTGGATTACAGAACAGATTGGGGATACCAGGCTAGTTGCTGTACCCTAAGCAATGAGAGAGGGATGAATGTTTCTGAGATCCTGCAATTCCTGCCTGGACGTACTTTGTTTGGCGGCCAAACAGTGGAGTGGAGGCCCCACAGGGCAAAGGACAGGGGAAAAAAAGTGACCGGTTAGAAGCAGATCGATTTTACCCCCATCCTTTCAGCAGTGTGAGGAGGCTAATTGTGGTGCAAACAACTACTTCCCTGGCAGTGGTAAGCTATTGGATCTGCAACCTTTGGTTGTTAATGCTGCAGTCGATGTTACACTTACCTAATTTCCGAGGACGTGTGAATCAGAACCCCTATCGAGCACACGACCACAAGGGGGCATCAGAATTGTGCTACATATCCAATCCTCATCCAGTAAAAGATTTGCGTGGCTTTAACTTATTCAAGTTGCAAAGTTAGTATTAGACTTGTACACTTTTAATAAGTCAGATGAGGTTTTTCTGTTCAAGTCTTCTTACAGAGAGAATTCCAGGTGTAAATCGGTCTTTCTTACAACCCCGATGACAACAACAAGATTGCATTTGTAGAGCGCTTTTCACGTCGGGAGGACGTCCCAAGGCGCTGGACAGTTGGGTCGGGACCCGAGCAGGGGGGAAATGGTCAGGGTGAGGGGATGACCTTAAGTTAATAACATGGAAGGCAAAATTTACTGCTAACAGAGCTTCAACAGGTAATACAATGGCCACAGAACATACATCACTGAAGGAAGGTTCACACAACAATGTCAACCAGCCTAGAATCTCCTCTCACCTTTCTCTAAAGGATGTGATAGATAAACTGTTATTCAATTGGTAAATGTTTGACAAAATTTTTAGGTGTTTATTCTTGGCATATTGGAATAATTTTAATATTTGCAAATAAATACCTTTTGGAAATATGTGGACAGATTGTAATTCATTTATAGGCAATACAATGAAAATAAAAAGCTGAACAAATATGAGTGAGAGACTAAGAGGATAATGGGAGGGGGGAGGGAGGGTACAAGTAAAAAGGTAAGTTGGAGCTGACAGCCAAAGAAACATGCCTGGAAAAGTATTGTTAATAGCTGACGAGCACATCAATGAAACTTAGTAGGGTACACATTTCCTAAACTTTGTATTCCACATGTCCCAGCTATCCAAATGCTGTGAATCATGCCATATGCTTAGTACTGATAAGCTAAGCAGTTACTAGGTACATGGGATATTTTTAAAAAGTTCACATTCATTCTTGTTGCGAAATAAAAAATGCACACAAAGTCCTTTCTTTTTTTTATTATTTCTGTATGCTAAAAGTAAATTTACATACTACAATCGCAAAAGAACCTGGGCATGCACATCAACCTTTTCAGGTTCTTCCATGTATCAGAGTATTTCCATAGGAATTTCACCAACATTTACAATCCATAGTTATTGTACACAGTCTGAACCAGAGCAATCTATGATTATGTCCACCTTATCTTTACACTGTGCAAAATCCTCAATAAACACGTAGGTATAGTGGTAAAACAAAGCAGAAATAATCAGTGAAATATCAGTTTCACCCTAAGGGTCTGTATAAGACATCTAACTATTGGTCCCTCATTCCCCAGGCTCAATGAAATACAGCATCTTTATTCACAAACGTGCTCAATTGATATATGCACAGTTATTTGATAGTGGCTTCCTAAATAAACTTTTCAACTCGCTGATGGCCTTAATGGTATTTGCCTTAATCCTGTTTTGAGCAGTTTCATATCGTTCTGTTGAAAAGTGACAAACAAAAAAACAGAACCAGGAAAGCCTGAAGCTGATGAGTATTTTTTTTTTTTTTTTTTTAAAGTGAATTTTCAAAAACGCCCAACAACAAAAAAATTCTTATTTGTATCAGAACAAAATTAACATGAAACAAAATCTGAAAATATTCACTAGAATTTTACAGTCAGTGTGGATCTGAATAGGATTAGTCCGGTTTTCAAATCTTCTATGGAGATCACTGCCAGAATAGCCTACAAAGAAATTTATACACCCCAGCACAGCAAGAGAAAGGGAAAGACAATCAATCTGCAAAAAATTTCACCCCATATTTACAGATTTGTTTTTTCCTAATATAAACATACTTCAATGGCTTTAGTATAAATAAATATACAACACTATTTTATTATCTGTACTAGATCTCTTCAGATCTGCTCACCACCAACAAATCATCTCAGTGTGTGATTAGTTTTTATACCGTTTTATTTTGAGAAAGCCAAAAAGAAAATTTATTTTAAATATTCATAAAATTAAGCAGTGATGCATCCATCAGTCTGCCTTTTCTTGCGATCTTACCAAAGGTGTTAATGTGGCTGGAAACATCAACACCTTGGCGTGCATGAACAACAGGTCGGGAAGGTTGGCTATCACCTTCGCGGCCTCCGTACTGAGGACTTCATCCTTTTTCGGCTTCCTATAAAGGGGAAAAAATGGAAAGATGAGAAAAAAGTCCTGACTTTCTACTTTTCAGCCCAAAGAGGTGGTTTACCGATTATAAGAACACACGAAAATGCTGAATAAGCAAGAGGTGGGAGAAATTTATCGGTGACGAAAGGGCCTTTTTTTGTGAAGATTTTTGTAATAAGAATTAATAATCGTTGCATTTAATATAGCGCCTTATCACATCATTGAGACGTCTCAAAACACTAAAGTGGATTGACTGTATATTTTGTAATAAGGGAGAGAAGCAGGATATTTTTTTAAAAATTTTGGGGTCAGCTGAGTATCTGGCACATGCAGAAACTCATCACAGTGACTTTTGGAAGAGCGTTCCAGAAGCCAGGGGATGTGGAGGCTTAAGGCCAGAGTCAAAATAGTGGAGCATAAGCTGGGATACATGGCTGGAAAAGATGGGTTGACATTAGGAACTCAGGTTGCAGAGTTCTGCATGGATTTATGATGATTGAAGCTAGGAGAGGCCTGGAGAAATCCATCTCTAGAGGCAATGAAGACACGGACAAAGCATTATTGTAGCAATTATGGTAAATTACGTGCAACAAGGTTGGTACAGTATCTGGCAAAACTTAATTGACTGAAGTACAGTATACTTTTAGCAAACCTAGCTTTAGAGTAGGAATTATGTTTTAAAATTCTATCAAGAGTTAAGTCACGTTACCTAGATAAAACACTGATGCATTTAATTTTTAATCAGAAGCCCAACACACGTCTGGGTGAAATCTCTTTGGCAGTTACCCGAGCCTAGAGTGTAAGATTTCAAGAGGTCAGGTTTCTCACCGAGTGGACGTGCTCGTTTTCTCTGCCGTTGACATGAGGCGAGCAAATGCATCAGTCATTCGATTGACTGTGCTGGAGCTTTCCAGCTTAGATGTCGTCAACTCATACAGTTCTGGGTCAACACCTAGAGAGATATACAAGAATCAAATCAGCTCGCAAACTCTTATTCAGCAACGATAAACCACATGGCGACAACTACACCAAACGTCCAAAGCTCTGATTTCTGTAAACATCTGAAATATTTATACAAACCCATGGAATAAAGGCCATGATCCAAATCCATCCTGAATGGATTGTAATATAACCTATCTGATGTTCCCTTTAGCATTATTCCCTTTAGCATTATTAGCATATTTTTAAAGTGGAAACATTTTGCTGTCGAGCAAGTGCAACAAATTCTCTGTGAAACTAAGATTACACTAAAACTTCCCATAAAACAAAACTCTCTCCCAGCTCCAGATTACAAACTAATTCTTCTTTGGAAACATTACCCTGGCACATGACAATTTTAACCTAAAACCCCAATCTTTTCTGCTTATTGTCAGGGATTAAGCATTTAACAAACATTTGAAATCCAGGAAGCTGGTGCTGCTCACCTTTTCCATATTCCTGCACTAGGAGTGAGAATGGCACAGGGAACAAGACTGAAACAGGGATCAGTTTTACAGCTATACACAAGAAAAACGGTAATCTTAAAATCAGTTTTTTTTAAAAATCGCCTTTGTGGCCTAAACTAAGCAAAGGTTGGAGGAACTGTTTTTTGTACAATAGTAAATTAGAAAACAGTAAAATGGTAAATAAATTGACTAATGAACTGTATAGAAAATTTTGATCTGGTGAATATAAAAGGAAGTGAGTTTACAGAGCAATTGAATAATTTCTCAAATAATCCCCAATTCCAGTTTTACCCTGCGGAGTGGGGGGTGCACTTTCTTACAGAAATGCGAAAGGGAAATTGATGGCACGTAAAATTGGACCGCCCTCATATACATCTTACTACTTGACTGAGGTGCTGAGCAGGTCAGCTTTCTTGCCTATCTTCACACTCAAGAGATTATAAACAATGACCAAACACAAAGTGAACAGTTTAAAAACAGTAATTGAGGCAGTTTGCAACCCAGTAATTCTGAAAAAAATACACTCAGCATACCTTTAGTTAGGGGAATATCATTAATGCAAAATAATAGGATATATTCTGCCATTTGCAAATATGACAAATGTCAATGAAATGAGGTTTGCTGTACGGAGACATTTTGCAATAATTTGCTACAGATTAAAAAGCGTTGATCGGAAACCTACACACCTGGAGTTCAAACATTTTAAAGAATTTGTGCCCTTTATATTATTCATCAAACCCCCAAATATTCCTGCTGTTATTTTTCCCCTAAGACTTTTAGTCCAGTTTCCAGACTTTGCAGATGCACAAATATTTCTTTCAATTATTAGTTTAATACCTTATGAAAAGATTATAATTGCAGATCTAAGCTCCTTGACCTCCCTGGGCTCTCCCTTAGACTCAACGAACCAGTGCACAACCTAGTTCAACCCCCAGTTCGACCCCCATCTGTCCTTCCTCCCCCACATCCGGTCCCTGACCAGGACTGCTTTCTTCCACCTACACCACATAGCACACCTCCGACCGTACCCCAAATGCAGCCGAAACCCTCGTGCGTTTGTCACCTCCCACCTGATTACTCCAATGCACTTCTCACTGGTCTCCCCAACTCCACCATTCACAAGAGCCAGCTCATTCAAAATTCTGCTGCCCACATATTGGACCAAACTCTGTACCCACATCTCACCAGTTTTGGCCAGACTCCATTGGCTCCCCATCACCGAACGGATCAACTTCAAGATCCTCACATTCATTTTCAAATCCCTTCACTCTCTGGCACCTCCCTACCTCTCCGACCTCCTCACTGAGCCAATCCACCACCCGGCGCCTCTGCTCGACTGGCACCAGTCTCCTGCTCACCTCTCGCACCATTCGCCCCACCATCGGAAGTCATGCTTTCAGCCATTACGCCCCAACACTCTACCTCAATCCCTCCACCTTGACCCCTCTCTCCTCTCTTTTAAGTCCCGCCTGAAAACTTTCCTGTTCAACCGTGCTTATGGGCACCTCCCCCTCCCCCCAGCTCAGAGTCAGGCTCTACCACCGTTAAGCACTCTAAGACCGTACCCTGTGTGGAGGGCGCTATATAAGTGCAAGTTGCTGTTGTTTTAATTGGGTTGCACTATGGTTTCAACTCAGCTGAAGCTATCGGTTTAAGGAAAAATGTTAATATACATTTTTTAAAAATCCAGTTTTACCACAAACACAAGTAGAAATGTGAGCACCAAGATATTGATCGTGAAAGCTGTGGATTTTTTTTTTAAAAAGCAATCAAACAGTTATCGGAAGAAAGTCATCACAAAATATTCTCTTATATAAAAAAGAACCAGCCCCAATTTTCAGCATACAGTATGTTTGGGCTTTTTTTTTAAAAAAAAATCTTTTGGCAAATCTCCAACATCTGCATGACATCAAGATCTGGTGTAACCGAATTGGAAAATAAACTGTCCTAGATTGAGCCCTTAGCTTGTGCTAAGTAAGCTTATTTTAGGCAGCGATGCATTCAAGACAAACATTCTCTTAGCATGGGCTTGCAGGTGGAAAACTAGTTAACATTTCTGCTCCTGATTTGTTTCCTACTCGTCTCCACTGCAAAGCATACATGATGCAGGTCAGGCGAGGACAGGGTCTGGTTCCTCAGCTGTGACACCCCCCATCCCACTTGCCAGATTCACATCTCACTAGTGGTCACTTGGGTCAGGAATCAGAGGGTTGCTGCTGGTTCACCAGGGTGGTCACTGCCTTCAGAATGATAACACATGAAAAACAGGATAGCAAGAAAAAATTGTTTCAGCTACTTTAGGGGCTGTTCCAGACAATTCACAAAATGTAAAACAAATTATGTGGCAATCTAATGCTTTCCTTTATAAATAAAACAGCTCAATGATTAAGTCACTTATGTGCAAGGTCACGATGGTTTAATATTTCTCTTCTCCCCTCCTCTACTCTCTTCATTAGTTGTTTCAGTGCAAAAGGGTTGGGAGCTATTCTGCTTAGAAAGCATAACAAGAACTCTGATCATCCCAGTACAACTGTGTCGCACTGCGTGTGTCAAAGCTTTGAGACGTTCTCTCAATCTGAAAGGTGCTATGTAAACGGTATGGTATATAGTATTGGTCATTAATACTAATTTATTTCCCAATTACATGGAAACTACTTAATAATAATAATAATCCTTGCATTTGATATTGCGCTTTTCACGTCGGGAGGACGTCCCAAAGCGCTTCACAGAACACACTGTAAAGTGAATTGACTGTATATTTGTGGGCGAACGGCAGCCAATTGCGCACAGCAATTTCCCACAAACAGTCGTAGATTGAAAATGACCAATTTATTATTGTTTTTGGAGGGATTATTATTAGGCGTGTGGAGTAAGGAAACTTGCCCAAGGTTTCGCCCTGACCTGCCTGGAATTGAACTCAGGTCTCTCGCTTGCAAAGCGAGTGCTCCAACCACTGAGCTACAGGACTCCGAAATTCAGTATGGGAAAATTCTGAGTGCCTATGGCACTCAAAGCACCAGATCTTGGTTTGCATCAAAGCAGCTTCTGTTGATATCTTAAAAGGAGAACACAGAAATAATGTGACTTTATGACTAAGTGCAGAGTGAAGCATAAAGCTGCTGTTTCAGCGCAAGGTCTCATCCAGGAGTCAATCATCCATCAGTAAAATGATTCAGACTTCACTAGGCTTCAGCATAAATGGATCATAATCTTGGGCTGCTGAGCACATCCATCCAAGCAGCTAAAGAGTTATTAGCTTTAGTTTAATGAAAGATGTGGAGTAGGATTTGCGATGAAGCAGAAATACTTTGGCAGATGGTGGTGGTGAGAAGAAAACAATAATCAGGAATCAAAAATGGCAGGGAAACTCATGCAGTGTCCAAATACTACAATACCCAACCATTAGCATGCTCAAGGTACAAGGAGCAAACTCGTATGTGTTCAAGGTAATCTCTCATCTTCCATGATTGTCACATGCGTAAACTTGAGAAAAATACACAAACCCAATTCTAATAGAATTAATTCCCTTCAAATATCTCATCCCTCTGATAAGGTAGAAGTTGTTTAACCAGGTTTGTCATCGGGGGTTGGGAAAGAAAGTCATAAAATCCAAGGTCAGGCAATAGAAGTTGAAGTACACAACTGTTCCACTAGATCATTTCTGGTTTGTCATCAAAGATGGTGGGGGGAAAGAAAAACAGCAGAAATAAAAGAGCAAGAAGGAAAGTCAATCAGAGCGGTGAATCCAGATTGTCATCCCTTTACCATTGTGGACATCAGGTGAGAATAGGATTGAATTTGCTTAACCTGTGCGCAAAGAACTTGCTATCCAGACTTACACATGAAGAATGGCCATTTGCCCAAGATCAATTCCAACATTTACAATGTTAGGTGTGCATAGGCGTTAGTCTAGCTCTGTTGGAAACACTCTTGCCTCTGAGTGGCAAGACTATGGGTTCAAATTTACATCAGGACTTTTGAACTCACAAGTCTGGGTTGACACTACCAATGCAATTCTGGGGGCATGCAGCATTGTTGAATGCTGTTCTGGTGGTTGTTAAAGAACCCTCTACACTATTTGAAAACTGAACGCAGTCTCTCCCGGTGTGCTCAACAATCCCCCAAATGAAATTGGTCATTCATTTCTTGGCTGTTTGTGCGACATTTATTTCTGTCTAAATTGGCTGCCTTGATCATCTACAAAATACAGTGACTACCCTTTAAAGTATATCCTGTGAACCAGATCGAGATGTCCTCCAGATGTGAAAGGTATAATATTAAACTAAGAACTATATTATAATGTTTAGCAACATAAAATTCCCTGTTAAATACTAATCATCGGAATCTCTGAAACGGCTTACTCCAAGGTTCTAAAAAGGCAAGTTGTATCATCATGAACCTTTTAATACTCAGTCAAAATAGAAAAAGATTATTGGGATCTTAAATGAGTTTGCAAACCAAAACTATTTGGAAGAGTTGTATTCCAGTGCTGCTCCAGACAGCAGCCTGTCTCCAGCAACAATAGAAGTGGAGTACTGCTTCCTGAGACAATTATCACTACCTACCAGGATAAGTTTTCATCCTGCCCAACAGCAAAGCAAGCAGCCAGACAACACACACCATGTTTTTTTTGACAACATAAATCTCACCTCAAGAGTGTCTAGTAATGGGGCTTTGTCTTGTATATTTATCTTGTCTTTGCATATTTCGCCCACAAATTAGTCAATCCACTTTACAATATATTCTGTGAAGTGATTTGAGACGTCTCAACGACATGATAAGGCACTATATTAAATGCAAGGATTATTAGTGGCCAGTATGGATCACCCAATAAAACAGAACAGAAAAATGCAATGTTTTGCAAGGCTTTCATTTTTAAAAAGAGATGGCCTGAATTTATTTTGCGATTAGTGGGGGAACGATTTTAGTAATACTTTACAGAAAAATGTAATTCAATCCAAAAGCACATGGAAAGACTGTAGCTCTGATACAGATACACTGACAACACATACAGCACTCCCAGAAATCAGTACATTAAAATAATCTAAAAAGCTAGATATGTTGTACATTGGTAATTTTATACTGGTGTTTGGACTGAGATACCTATTCTAAGATAAAACATGCTGAAGTATTCATAAGCATTCATGGACAATGGCTGCAGGCATTTTTGCTACCCACCCATCAATACCCAGTGAATTAAAAAGGCAAAATACAAGCAGCATGCAATCCATAACTAGTTCAATTAGTTAGATACAATTTGACATTAAAAGTATAGCAATGTTCATTAGGTACTTTCAGTTTTCCTGATGGCAAGGAGGGGCTGTTTTGAAGAGATATAATAATAATAATAATAATAATAATCCTTGCATTTGATATAGCGCTTTTCACGTCAGGAGGACGTCCCAAAGCGCTTCACAGAACACACTGTAAAGTGAATTGACTGTATATTTGTGGGCGAACGCGGCAGCCAATTGCGCACAGCAATGTCCCACAAACAGTCGTAGATTGAAAATGACCAATTTAATTATTGTTTTGGGTTTTTGGAGGGATTATTATTAGGCGTGTGGAGTAAGGAAACTTGCCCAAGGTTTCGCCCTGCCTGGAATTGAACTCAGGTCTCTCGCTTGCAAAGCGAGTGCTCTAACCACTGAGCTACAGGACTCCACAATATTAAGATTGGCACTGTGTGTCAGGAGGCTATTTGGCTAAATTTGCACTTGGGTGCAAACCCTGGACTTGGATATAAATGGTGTATTTGTATTGTAAATTACACAAGGGAAAAAAAATATTAGCTACGATAGAAAATTCCTGCAATACACATCCATAAAGGCACTCAATGACTTCACCCTCCCTCTGCTAACAATGCCGACTCAAACTCGCGTGTGGTTCCAGATGCGACAGGTCTAGAATCTCGACAAAATGGCCATTCGTCATGTGTACTCCTTTGCTGGTAGGGGTTCACTCAGGGATAGCATCACACCAAGGCTAATTCTATCCTCACCACCTGACTGAATTTCACTTCCCCACAACCTCAGGAATGATGATGAGTCCAACTGCTGAGATCAGCTAACTCCTCACAGAATGGGATTTAAACCAGCAATTCTGTGATTTGGATGGTCTAAGTCTTCATCTACTGGTGCATTTCCTTTCCCTTTAAATGGAAAGTAGAAAGAGTAGATCTTGGTCTGTTGGATTTCTTTACAAACTAATATTCCTTCCTCACCAACAGGATCTGGAATTTACTTTCATCATTTCATTCCACAACAGAACTTCTAAATATATTCAATACTCAAAAGACATGAAGATGCTTTTTTCTACTGGTTACCAAAATCACTAAAAGAAGAATTTCAGAGTTTGTAAGCCTACTTATTTGGAGAGGAGCTGAATTATGTTTTAAAAAATGTAAATTCAACTGTCAAATAATTAGTGTGTTTCTTAGTTTAGAAGCATTCTGACTGAATTTTGTTATAATATCATCTTGCTGTGGAAGAACTCATTGACCTCTTCCTCTCCCCCCCGTCCCCCCAACACAGATGTTTACAGAATATTATCACCACCACCAGAGCTGTAACAAAATTTGGAGGGTTTTTTCATTCTACAGGGCTTCGCGGCTCAAACTTCAAATTCAAATCCCCCACACCACACTGCATCTCAGTTCAAATCGGATAAACACTGCCTTAAACCCAGCATCTACAGGCCACAGGTTTACTCCCAACAATATTTCTCCCAGCCCATGACCATTTGTATTCAAAACCTCAATCTAATGCTTTGAATATTTACCATTCTGTGGCAATTAAGCAAATTCAAGGTTTATAAAACCCTACTTTGTCACAGCTCTAACAAAGTGATGATAAACCATTAATATATACACAAGCTGCCAAATTAAATGCTGCAAGCCAAGCACTGCACTATTTGACAAATGGAAGCTCCCGCACTACATCTAAAAACTACTACAAAGCCACCGATACATGGGGTTTAAAAGATAAAGGGAATCTGCATGCAAGCAGGACCATAACCAAACAAGCCTGTAAGCTGTGGCAAACAGAATGATGTGACACATGACTTCCCATGAAACTATTGTGTATTAGAACATTTAAAGTGCACGAGTAGAATAAAACAATTGGAGCTGTGCTATCAATTTTCTTGTTCCTGTGTCAAACAGAACTTTTTAAATATTTAGAATTCACTCAGCATCTCAACAGAGAGAAGGGGGCCACAAGAAACACTTGTTAAAATAATCAGATGAAACAACTACAAACACAATTTAATATTTTAAAAAAGCTTTCAGTCAGAGCCCTTTGATTACAGCATTAGCTTTTACCCCAAAATCTCTGACACACAGAATTATGTATATTTTAAGACATTATCATTCATTTTTTTTTCCCTTCGCATTATCCTGAATCATGGATAGCAAAAAGATATGGATTATAGAGGGGTTCTTTCACTGTTACTAAATTTCACCTGAGAGGTAAAGCTCAGGTCATGGAGCATGCTACTCCATTTAAAGGCTCTTCCAGGAACTAACTGGTCATGCAATCGAGGCGAATGAGCAGCAGTGTCTAGAGACTATATTTGGTACTGAGCCCAAACTCTTGAATTACCAAGGCACGCATCCCATTGAACATTCAGTAATGATCTTGCACGTATTTTGGTAGATGTATATGATGGCAGCAGAGATGGAGTGCTTTCTAAGCAGGTGGCCTTGTGCTCGGATCCTGTGGTTGCCGCTGAGCAAACCAGTTATCCACCATTAAAAGGTACCAGTTTTATCTTCATCCACTAAAAACTGCTCTGTTTCTAATCTTTGTCAAAGTGCAATCAACCCCAACTTTTTCACAAGCAAGCTGGCCATGGGGTACATGTCGTTACAGTGTAGTTAAGGGGGAAATGATTTAAAGTAAATCAACCTTAAAACTGAGATTTTCACAACCACCGTGCAAGCTTTTTTTAAAAAAAGAGAGTGAAGGTACTTAGCCATAAATTTGTAATGCCAACTCCAATCAGCTGTCAACCATCGTCTGTTGAACTCTACTAAATTACATCAGTGAAAGTGATGGACAGTTGTGTGAACCATTCAATAAATCTGCAAATCATGAAAGCTGAGGCATCCAACATAATTTTATCACTTTCACTAAGTCACTAAACTCACTGTTAACCCTGAAACACAATCAAATAATTTCTAATCCACGTATTTTGACGTGCACACACAGCTAGAGTTAAACATCTGGAAAGATGAAATAGATGGAATACAGCTACGGTTTCGATTCAAAAAAAAATCAGAAGCACTTTAAATCCCGTGTATACATAAAGAAAATTGGCAGAGTTCTCTCACACTGCTTCAAGTAATCAGGTTCATGGGAAGGGAGTCATGTGACCACATTTTTCAGACTATAACAGGCTGCAGGTAACATATTCTGCTGACCTGGGATAGTGGCACTGTTGCTAGAGCTAGTGTCGTCCATGGGCCCAAAGAAATCAAGGTTCAGAACAGTGGAACCTCCGTTAGCTTGGAATTCAGTGACCGTGTTGGTAGGTAGTCACACAGAGGGTAAGCCAAGGGAGGGGGGGTTGATGTGTGAGAAGGGGGTAAGACACAAACTTCAACATGCAGGTTATCATTACTACACATTATAAAGATTTGCATCCAGAAATAGTTTTAAGGATTTGTAAAGAAATATCTAAGTTAATTAACAAGTCAACTAGCTATACAGTCAACATTTACAGCACACGCATAATACAGAATCCTTAATTTTGTAATTAAATAGCAAGAGGGAAATGTACTTGTTGCAATGACATACTTGCCACTAAAAGATTTCTTTTAAGAAAGGAAGATTTCATACTTGAAAGACTGACAAACAAGGTACAAGCATAAAGAATCAATTGCAAAAATAAACAGGAAGATTTGATTGGAGTAGTTAATGAACACTGAACAATAAAGAGGCTCATCCAGGCTTTCCTTCTATCTACACAAGAAATTTGTGGGAAGGGGCTTACTGAACTGAATTATGTCATTAACCCTTGTAGTACTGAAAGACCATGAAATAAAATATTTTTCTCCTTAATTTTACTTTAATATTAATAATCCTTGCATTTGATATAGGGCCTTATCACGTCTTCTAGGCATCTCAAAGCACTTCACAGAAACATACTATAAAGTGAATTGACTGTAAACAGTATTGTAAATTCACGTGCTACAGATCTTCATATTTCTCAATTTTATAAACGATAGAAACTTATCATCAGTTCATATAGATGGTAGAACTATAAATTGCCTATAAGAGCGTTTTGAAACCTGTGAAGACTCAGTACTCAAAGGGTTAAAAGACCATGACTGATGTACTTATTTGTAGGCATTTTAGATTAATTTACTGAGTTGAGCATGCTTCACTATGTACACATCATATATATGCACAAAAAAACTCCATTTGCTTCTTTAAATGTAGAAAATATTGTATAGCCAATATGTCAAGTAACACATGCAACAGTTAAAGTAAATACCATTTTAGCAAACTGGTTAGCTAAATTCTTCCACTTGCGGAAGCAGATTTTACAAGTTTTTATTTCAATGGCTGTGCAAGTTTTTTTTAAAAAAATAAGAAAACAGGAAAAAACGAGTCCCAGGGAGAAGAGATAGACTGCTAATGATAATTTTAATACTGTATTTTGTTCATTCAGAAGAACATGTTAAGAAATATTAGAAATCGAAATTGAGCCCAATACAGATGTAATGGTTTATGCCTTACTGCAGAATGTAATTACTTTATGCCTTCCTGCAAAATGTATTGAAAATACATCACATTTCACAAAAATAGAAGTTATTTTAAAATACATACTGTGACTACCCACACTAAAAGTAGGCACCATGAGGAAATGTTTGCATCAAGACAACCTTTAAAATCCAAGGACATGGTTCGATAATTAATACATTTACAATTAAAAAAACACCACTAGTCATGTGCAATTTCATAATATTAGTGCAGTTAATAAAGGAAAAGTTAATAGATTAGCACACACCAGTCAGTATGGATTATAGAGGATACACGATTAGCTGTTCGATGCTCACCTACTCTCATTTACATTTGTGAAGCTGTGCTTTAAGCAAAAATCCTTTATGCAAGAGAAAGGAGCACAGGTCAGCAAAGCAATGTTGAAAGAAAGCCTGGATTTCCACAATGAGAGAAAGAAATGGAAAGAGAAATCAGCAGAGAGATGTCTGTCTGAACTTGGTAGGTTTCTTAACTCTAGCTCTGGTGCTAGAGGCTCTACGCAGTGACGTACCATCAAGAGGATTAGTAAGGCCACTGCTACTCCAGTCAAACTGGACAGGCGGGACGTGTTCCTAAGAGAAAAGAAAACATTACATTATGCTACACTGCGACTCCCAAGTGATTTTTATACTTGCGTTAATACCGACTGCTGGTGCAGAAATGTTTTAGTTACAAAATAAACATTAGAGATTTACTGCCCAATATGCCAACTGGAATTATCACTCTGACATACAGAAAAGGTAATCGAAATCTGTCCTCCAAAGCAGTCATGGAGAATAAAAATATAGCAATGACTATGGGTGCTTTGGGAGAAAAACATTTCAGAGCAGGAATGCATCAGAACACAGAGCACAACCCACCCTCACCCCGTGCTTTATATCCACAATATCTCTCCATTCCTCATAACATGGTGTGGGGGATGGGGGTGGGGGATGGGGGCGGGATGCAGGGAGGGGTGGAGGCGTGAGGGGCTGCGGATTAGCAGAGCACAGGTAGGAAGAAACAAGGCTACGGAGGGCCTTGAAGGCGAGGATTTTGAACTCTATCCTTTGGGGGAAGGGGAGCCGGTGGAGCCAGGTGAGGGTGGTGCTGATAAGGTCATGGAGTCTGGTGCGGGAAGAGGACGAGACTATAGCAAACCAAATCCTGCAAATTAGTTTACTGCACATCCTGTGAAGAGCTTTGAGACATCCTCCTGACATGAATAGCACTATATCAAATGTGACTTATTATTTAGTCAATGAGCATAGAGCTCTGCTAATCAATGGCAAACACTTTTTTCAACAATGTTTTCTAAATGTTATTACAGAGGTTAATGCCGTTAGCTCTTTAGAAGCATTAAAACCGGAAGGATGGACTATCCTTTTTTTTATTAAAAATGGGAAAATTAAAATCCTTTGAATATTGCTAGAGAGTAAACCTCATTTATATTACAGCCAATTTACACTGATTCTATTTAGAAACCAGGAAACGGTTTCAGAAGCTGGCTCCAAATTGAAGTGTTGTGAACTCAAAAGCAACTGTAAATGAATAGAGCACTAAAACCATAGAAGACAGCCATTCGGCCCATCATATTTTTGCTGGCTCCTTTTAGAGCAAACCTTTCATTCCTATTTACCTGCCCTTTCCCTGTAGTTTACACTATGTATCAATGGAATGGGTTGAGAAACTATTGGTTGGTGATTTAGAACGCATGAATTAGTATACATGGTTATTTGATGTTCAAGTCAGCCGGTCAAATTGAAAGACACACGAGTGCTCCTTATGGTTCACTGTGCAAATGCCTGGTTTGGCAGAGAGTCATACAGGTTCCAGGTTCAAATTCTGCTGAATTAGATTATCGTCATCTGGGCCATTTGCAGTAGCACATGCTAGGGAGGACAAAAAAATAACAGCTAGATCATTGCCGAATGACTCCTGCTGGGAAGCAAACTTGCATGGACATATATAGTGAGAATAGGAATGGTGTCATCTGTGATATTTTCATAGGCTCAAAGCCTACCAGCGCTTATCTGAATTTACCCAAGAACAGGAGATATACAGCAGATGGAACTTTTAATTTATGTCCAAAAATCAGCATATTTCAAATGTCAGTGCATTGTTCATTTTCATGTACTTACCTCTCCTTTCAAGTGGCATAAAAATGCAACTTAAATTATGAATCAGTCACTGAAATAAATGCTTTGTAGCATTAAAAACTACTGTACATATTAAAGTGCAGATTGTCTAAGCAGTTTCCTGTAGTTGACACACGAGAGTGGCTCCCCTATGGGAGGTTTCCAAGCACCACAAAAACTAGCAATATAATCTAGCAAACAGGAGATTTTTAAAAAAAAAACACATTTAAGAGTAACTGAGTGTGAATGTACTTCATAATTGAAATTACTTTTACCCCCACCTCCTCCGTGCTTCTACTTTCAAGTAGTGTATTTCCAAAGCCAACAGTGCTATTTCCAAAGTCAAAGTGTTAGGACACTCTTGTAGAGATACTTGAAAATGGATTTCAGTAGCATATAGTGAACCCTCATTGAGATTTTAAATCTTGGCATTTACCTGGGTTTGATCAGATGTGCAAGTACTCATCTCTGAGGATGAGGCACTCGCAGTCGGAGTTTGACCTATTGAAGCGATCTTTTCTGCTGCAGATATTGGTTTTAGGGGTTCTTTGGTGGGTTCCAACATACCCTGAAAAACACACAAAATAAAAGTACCTAGAACACAATAAAACTCAATCTGTTAACGATGAATGGGATAAAGCCCCCTCTAGCCATAGCCATCCGCCACCTATGCAGACAAACTATCTGGACATTAGAAAAGGTTCAATTTCCCTTTACTTGATATTTCAGGTGAAATATTTATGTACTTTTATGCATTTGCCACATTTGTATTTTTTCCTGTCAATTTTCAGGTGATTAAAATAACCATTTGCATAAAGTTGAAATATAATGGCTAAAATGAGTAATAGCAATTGTACTGCTATGTTTAACTTACCAGACCAGATGCGTATGCAGGAACTATGACGGGCTGCTTCTTCTGCCCTGTAAACAACTTCGGAAACAGAAATGGTCATTATAGTCTGGTTTGTCATTTTCTTTTTATGCACTAGTTAAAGTCTTCAGAAATAAGGGATCAAAATTCTTATCCCATTCAAGACAAAAACTAAAACCTAAAACAAAACAGTTTTGTGTTTAAACATGTTTTTTTTTAATGTTTAGCTAGTGCAACACTTTTTATTCTAGGTGATATGAGACAAGTTACCAAGAGACCAAAGTTTTTAAAAGAATTAAATTAAACTGATTTTCAATAAATTAATTGACAGCCTCAAGGCACAAATTACTCACAAACTGCTCAAATTACTGTTTCACTAAAAGGAACAAGAGGTTACAAGCAAGCCAAAATTCATATTTGGAATAAGATGTGTGCTCCACAATTAATTTAGATTCCCCTCCCCCCACTTCCTGTGCGACTTACTATATTTCTCGTATCAATTCCCAGGGAACAGAGAAGCTTTTTGTTGCTGTGGGAACCACCCCACTGGTACTTCAGGCCATGGGCATCGTTGACATCTTGTAGCTCGGTCCACACAGTCAGCAGCTCCCTGCAGAATCCACAAGACATCACAAGGCTAAGCAGCACAATGCATCACATGACTCAGCAGCTTAACCACCCCGGCTCTATTCATATTTTTTCCACAGTAGGACTCCCATCAGACTTAAATTAAATTACTTCATAAAGGAGATTTCGCCCACAAAATACAGTCAATCCACTTTACAATACATTCTGTGAAGCGCTTTGAGACTTCTGAATGATGTGATGAGACGCTATAACAAATGCAAGAATTTACATTTTATTATTTAAAAAAACATCAATTTTAACATAGAGTCTGTACTGATTTATTCAAAATGCTGTTATCCCCTAGTTTAGATCAAACAGATAGAGCATGCTCCGATTATCACACACTTATTATGAGTACTAAAATCACAATCCAAGCTGGGCCAATTCTGATTGAGCTCATCACAGTTAACAAGATTCATCGCTTACAATGCACTTACTTCCACCTGCCATCCATTCTCCTTTTAAAATAATTCCTCGGCTACACGTGTCCACACTTACCCATTAGCTCCCGTGGCCTGCTCTCCCTTCATCTTTCCATTAGCAGGCTCCAATAGCTGCCTCAGCGAGGAGATTTCTTCTTCTGCCTCAAGTACAGCCACTGGAGGAAAGCATGCTTGGAAAACTCGCTCTAGACGGTTTAGCAGAGATGCCTACATTAAACAGGCAACAGCAGAGGTTATTTTTAAACCCTTTACTTTGGAAGACATCAGAAAATACATCTGAACTATGACAGCATGGGTCTCTTCGCCATAGTTATGTTACCATCTCACCACATTTACTTTAACAACTTTTAGCAAAGAGAAGAGGGAGGGGAAAATATGAGACAAGGTAGTTATTGATGAACAAAGGCAACAGTTTCCATGATTATAAATTGAACGCCACCCCCTACACACCCAAATTTACAGTTGTACTAGAGAAAATAGCAAAATAGATATAAAAGGAAAACTGAATGCTGGAAATAGGTCAATCAACAGCTAAAAAGAGAAAATTAGATTTCAGTTTCAAGTAGGGCCCTTCATCAGAAAATCAGTGCAATTGTTCTGTGTGGAGCTTTGGTCAGTTAACCTGCTGCACTACAAATACCATTTCCGCTTGCTCCGTCTCACCATCAGCGGTGAGCTTTTAGTCACTTTTCCCCTACCAACCGGAACTCTCTTCTGACACTCCACCACTAACCTCTGGAACTCCCTCACGCGACCTCTCTGTCGTATACCTATGGTTACCTCAACGTAACCCATATTTGTCACCTCGCCATGGTAAAGTGTCCAAGACGTTATTCGATGTGAAGGACGCTATACAAATGCAAGTTTTTGTGCTTAAGGTAAACAAGTTTTTCAAACATAAAACTAACACTAAATGCAAGCTCAAAGAACAAACAGGCTACACATTCTGGTTTTGCAAGGTTTTTTTTATATGTATACCAACTTTGCTTCAACAACAACAAATTAAATTTGTGTAGCACCTTTCACATCAGGAGGACATTCCAAGGTGCTGAACAGTCAGGGATTTGGACTGTCAGGGAAGTTGGGATCGGGGAGGTGCGGAGGGTAGTGGTAGGAGAGGGCCGAATACGCGGTCAAAGAGGAAGGTCTTGAGATGTGCTTTGAAGGAGGCGAGGGAGGGAGTAAGACAAAGGGACTGTGATATGGAATTCCAAAGGGTGGGGGCAGAGAAGAAATATTGCATGAAGCATGGGGAGGTGGTAAGGAGAAGGGAAGTTGAGTAAACAGTCACATACAGTGGAATCCCCTTTAGCCGGACACATCGGGTCAGTTTTGACCATTTACCTGGCACCCGGTGATCGAGATTCTTACCTTTCTCTTCCCGCCGCCTCTCCTGCTCTATTGACATTCGCATTAGATGGGATGGGGACCAATTAGCGGCAGCTCTGGGAGGAGTCACTTCGGAACCGCCGCAAATCGGTCCCCTCCCCATCCACCAGATGCAGTCACTGCCCCCGCAGAGCCGCTTGTGAGTAGCCAGAGACCGCAGTCAATCGCAATTTGACTCCTCCCATCTCCATCCTGGAGCCGCTTGTGACTCAGAAGGCACGAGTGAGTACATTCAGCAGCGGCCAGCACGGCATTTTGCCCGGACCGGATTTTCATCCAAATTGAACAGGCAGATTTAAAACAGGTACGAACACAAATGAATTGGAGGCGGGTGTTTCATCCAATTTGGGGGTTAACCAGCGTCCGGTTAAAGTGGATTCCACTATGTATGCATCACTGTAACGCAAACAATTCTGGCTTTTGAAATTCATGTATTCAACACATTATAAAGTATAATGTCATTTTAGCTATATTCATTTCTGGAAATTGATGCAAATGTTTTTAATCCTGAACGCAAGAAGGTCAACACAAGAACACATGTTGCCAATAAGGAAAAATGAGTGGGAGATTATTTTATTATCCATTGCAGCGGAGAATAAAGAGACATAGGATGTCCGTCCCTCTCAGAGAAGTTCTTTTTGAAGTGTGACCACTATGAAGGCCAAACACCTATCCCAATGAAAGTAGGGCAAAATGGACAGAAAAACAAGGGAAGTTTAAGGGAGCATTGGCAAAGAGCAGGGAGTGGTTTGCCCATCCTCTCAGCTATAAAAGGTGGATGATCTGAGGAAAAGATCATCAGGGCAAAAATCAAGATTTACTTATTACCAATTTAAGAACATAAGAAATAGGAGCAGGAGTAGGCCATTCGGCCCATCACACCTACCCCACCATTTAATAAGATCATGGCTGATCTTCTCACCTAATTTCATTTACCTGTCCTATCCCCATATCTAATCCCTTTAGTTTTTAAAAATCTATCAATTTCAGTCTTGAATATGTTCAAGGACTGAGCATCCACAGCCTTCTGGGGTAGAGAATTCCATAAATTCACTACCCTCTGAGTGAAGAAATGTTTTTTCAACTCAGTTCTAAAGAGCTAACCTTTAATCCTGAGACTATGATCCCTAGTTATAGATTCTCCAACCAGGGGAAACAGTCTCACACTATCTACCCTGTCAAGACCCTTACAAATCTTATAGGTTTCTATAAGATCACCTCTAATTCTTCTATATTCTAGAGAATATAGCCCTAGTCTACTCAAACTCTCCTCGTAGGTCAAACCCCTCATCCCAGGAACCAGCCTAGTGAACCTACGTTGCAACCCCTCTAAGACGAGTGTATCCTTTCTTAGATAAGGAGACCAAAATTGCACACAATATTCCTATTGCAGTAAGACTTCCGTACTCTTGTACTCTAACCCCTTTGCAATATATGCTAACATGCTATTAGCCTTCCTAATTGCTTGTTGCACCTGCATACTGACTTTCTGTGATTGGTATACAAGGACACCCAAATCCCTCTGAACACTAACATTATCTAGTCTCTCCCCCTCTAGAAAATAATCTGTTTTTCTATTTTTTTCTACCTAGGTGAATAACTTCATGCTTCCCCACATTATACTCTATCTGCCGCCTTCTTATCCACTCACTTAACCTGTCTATATCCCTCGGCATCCTCCTTGTGTCCTCCTCACAGCTTACTTTCCCACCTAGCTTTGTATCGCCTGCGAATTTCGACACATTAACCTCTATTTCCTTATCTAAGTTATTGATGTAGACTGTAAACAGTTGAGGCCCAAGCACTGATCTTTGCGGCACTCCACTAGTTACAACCTGGCAATCTGAGAAGGACCTGTTTATCCCTACTCTATCTTTTCTGCCTGTTAATCATTCTTCGATCCATGCTAATATATTACCCTTGTAACAAGCTTTTATATGGCATCTTGTCAAATGCCTTCTGAAAATCTAAGTACACTATATCCACTGGTTACCCCCCTATCTAACCTGCTAGTTACCTCTTTAAAAAATTCTAAAAGATTTGTTAAACAAGGCTTCCCTTTTATAAAACCGTGTTGGTTCTGCCTAATCATATTATGACTTTCTAAGTGCCCCACGACGACGTCCCTAATTATAGACTGTAGAATTTTCCCTATCACCGATGTTAGGCTAATTGGTCTGTTGTTCCCCATTTTTTCTCTCCCACTTTCTTAAATAGCGGCGTTACGTTTGCGATCTTCCAATCAACAGGAACTGTTCCAGAATCCAGGGAATTCTGGAAGATCAAAAACAATGCATCCACTATTTCTGCAGCCACCTCTTTTAAAACCCTAGGATGCAGGCTATTTCTTCACAGGTATCCCAAAACAAAATCACAACGGTCTAAATATAAACGATAACATGAACAAATGATGTGCTACAACTGCACATTGTACATCTCTATGAACCAAGTAAAACCCCCAGTCTCTGGCCAGCAATTTTGCAAGAGTTATCCAGCTCTATGTGCTTGGACTCGTTCAAGTTTTTTTTATATATTACATATTGGTTCTTCTAACAAAGCAGAAATTATTGTATTAACTTATTTTGTTGGGATTCTACACCAAATATCTACTCCATAGGAACACAATTCTTCAGTTTCCACAGCTTAACATAAATTAATCTACTTACACCTACATTACTGATATATTTTACCATGGGAACACATTGCACCTCAATTTTTAAAAAAAAGTAAATCAATTATTTAAACCTCCCTTTGTAAATTAAAGCTCACAAATCTCAGAATGATTCGAGTCAGTTGTCTGATCAGTCTCCAATGCATCACTCAAACGTGTGAAGATTTTCAATGTGACTTTAATATGGTATGGTATCTAGAAGTATGCCACACCAGCCTGACAGAACTCTGATAATGTGCGATCTGTGAAAGCCGGTTTCTAAGGACATTCTCCTCGGATTCCTTAGTTAGGAATCCGTTTATAAATCGCCACACCTTTGCGTGAAGACAGACTGCTCTCACAAAGGTTACCTTTAAATGGCTTAAAATTGTAGATCAGTCATATTACTTCTTCACCTTGCCTCTTTATGCAGCTGTTGAGGTACTGCATGAAGTACATTTGGACAACTTCAATGCACCAAGAACGCAGTACAAAACAATTTAGTACAAAGGCAATCTCATGCATCAGAGATCAGGGAGGATTGTTTGGGTGAGAAATAGAAAATTTGGCGATGGATGAAAGCACATTGAGCAGATCAAAGTGAATGACCTTGGATCTGGCGATTCTTATCCAAGTATGTTCTAGTGAAAATTATTAAACACATCAGGACAACATCCTAAAGTACTTCATAAGATATACCACTAAAGTGAGAGAGAGTATATTCTGGGGGAAAACATGGCAGCCAATTTGGAGAAAGCAGTGTCCCACAAACAGCCATGAAGCAAATGACCAATTTTATCTGGGGACTGTTGGCCAGAAGGCCTCACACAATGAGTTATTTTCAAGTGTAGTGCGCAATAGTAAATTCATCCACTAGCCTGTGCCAGCAGCATCCCACAAAGACCAATGGGAGCAAAATACATCCCAAAATACATTGGTTATTTCCTGAGGGAAGAGCATTGGACAGGACATTAGAACTCTCTATTCTTTGAAATAGCATTCTGAAAATATCAGAACAAGCAAACAGACTATGACTTACAAGTGCCATCTGAACAGCTGCAAATCCACAATGCAGTACTCCTTCACTGAGTGTCATCCTACATAATGAGTTCATGCACTTCGATGGGAATTACACCCTACAATATTGTGACCCAAAGCAAGAGTGCTATTAACCAAATTTGCAGACGTAGATTTTTTTAAAGCGAAAAAACAGTAAATAACTCAAGAATAAATAGAGGTCGAAATGTCTTCCAAACAGGAAGGAATTCAACAGAAGCAACTGTGACATCAAACAGAAAGTAACACTATTTCCACTACTAATAATGCCTACATTCGTGCTTTGCTGATGTACGCAAAGTGGAAACTAATTTTAAAAAATGGTTTTCTTCCACCACTATTCTAGCCAATGCTCTACCGGAACCTGATGGTGAAGTAAACATGATGGTGTGCAACTCTCATTTTTATAGCACCTTCTACATTGTACTACTAAGAGGTAGAATTAACCAACATTTCTGATAGCAGCACCACCCATCCCAGTCAAGAGGAACACTAGTTATTGCAGGTGGCATTGCCTATTTAGTCAGTTGTTTTCACAATGCAGTCCTGGGGAGGGGCAGTGCTTGGCTTCAACATTGCTGGGTCTGGCCTCCTCCTTGTCCCCCGAGTCCTCCACTCCACCCTCGGTGGCTGTGCCTTCAGCCACTATGCCCCAAGGCTCTGGAACTACCTTCCTCACTCCCTTCGTCTCGTTCCCTCCCTTCCCATTTTCAGGTCTCTGCTGAAGATCTTTCTTTTCGACCACACCTTTGGTCACTTTCCTCCCCCTCCCTTGGTCCCGGGATCCGAAACTGTAAAGCGCTCGGAGACGCCATCTGGCATGGAGGGCACTATTTAAATCCAAGTTGTTGTTGCTGTTGCTGCTGCTGGACTAAAGAAATGAAAAAATTGGACAGGATCTCCTCTCACCGTCATAATCTAATGATCCTCACTGGAACAGAGGATTACTGGAGCTCAGCGAGACTGGCCACTAAAGTCACATAGCCACAAGACACTCACTGTCCAGGTTCATATGAGAAGAATGGTTATTTGGATGAGGCACCAATGGAAACTCATTATTCAAGGAACCATAACCGCATGATGTCCAGGAGAGGAAATGGGAAGAAGAAAAAACTTGTAGTACAATTGTTTTTTTTAAGAACAGGTGAACAAAAAACATATTCAGAACGTACCATAATGTGTCCATAATTGTAGGCAACAGCTGCAGTAGGGGCTCAGTGACTACATTAAATTTAAGATCTGTGTTTGACCATAGCTTAAGTTTTAAAATTTAATTTTGGGGGTTAAAATTTAAACACCACCAGACTTAGGTGATGTTTAGCTCCAACGTTGAAATGGCTCAACACTGTGATGATAGGAAGACAGATCAGATTGTTCATTATAGTCTAGAAAAAAGTCAAATAAATGTGGCCTATCAAACAGTTTTATGTCTGAATAATTAATTATTAATGTAAGGCTAACTGCACTATACAAGCATACTGAGGCTATTCAGGTCATCTAAAGGACAAGGTTTAAAGTCCTTTAAACCCATCCTCTGTTCCCGGACATAGAGCAAGCAGTTTCCATGTTTAGACAATTGCACTTGATTCAGTGAATTAATTTAGTGCGCGGTTTTCACTGCAGATCTCCACAACTCAAAGGAATTTATCATAAAATATACATTGGTATTGAGCCAGCACAAAACGGTGCTCACACCAGTTTGGTAAGGTGCTTTCAAGAGTAGTTCTGTACTACTTCGGTATAATAATAAATAATATTTGCATTTGATATAGCGGTCCATCACATTGTGGTGACTATAGATGCATGCAAATACAGCATCCAATTTGCCACAGCCATGAAGTGTACAAATAATTGTATCTGGGGGATTGTTGGCCAGAATACAACAACTAACAACAACTTGTATGTATATCACGACTTTCACATCGGGAGAACTTCCCAAGGTGCTAACAGTCTGAATTGGTCGGAGTTCCAGAGAGGGGGGCAGAAGGGCTTAAGGTCCAACCACCAATGGTGGAGTAGGCAGGATGGGCGAGCAGAGAGGTTGGTAAGGTTTTATAAGTCAGAGGTAGGGTGGGTTAAGGCCCTGGACGAATTTAAAAATGAGAATGCGGATCTTGAACTCGAATGAAAAGAATATCTACAAAGGAATTTTTTTTTCCCCAAAATACTTCAATGACATTTTTTAAAAACCACTTGAACAGACAGGAATATAAGCTCAAAGTTATTCAGGCTACCAACTGAGCTAGGCTGATATTAGGCAAACATTGTGGGAGTAGGTTAAATCAGGCTACAATCTCAATGACTCATTGAAAATCCTCAGGGGGTCAAGTATAGGTCCCAGAAAATTTCAGGAAAGTGCCTTTTTTGGTCACTGGAGTGTCTGACACATGCAGCAACCCATCACCATGCTCAAGATTATCCAAACTAAACTGAGAATTCCATGTATCCCACCTACACATGGAAATCCCAGAGTTAGATTGTTGGAATGGAACGTACACTCTCTCCCTGGAGGGACACATCCTGCTTACCTAATTCCGGAAAGTATTAGGCATTGGTTGTCAAGGTTGTCTTATCTATCTATGCCAATAATACACATTGTGGCTTGCATCAAATAGCTAAAAGACGCCACACTTACTTGTGACATTGGTGCAGTTTCTTCAAAGGGACTCGTATCCTTAATACTGGCTGATCCTTCACTAGATTCAGCTGGTGTAGTATTTGTCCACCCGCCAGTCAACTGTGTGCCACCAGAAAGGGCAGGTTCTGTCCTGCTGATCTCACTGGCCCCATTATTATATGCATCAGCAACTTGATCTTCACCAAAAGCCGCCCACGATGTACTTTCACCCACTGTCTCGCCAAAAGCATTCCATTCTGTACCTGGTTCACCAGCTGATGAGCTGAAGTCTGAAAATGTTGCATCACTTTTGAATGATGCAAATTCAGTCCCAACTTTAGGTTCCTGGATAGAACCAAAATCTCCAAAGTCGTCATCATCATCATCAGTCTTTACAGTTGTGGTGACTGTTTCACGATCATCAAACTGGTTTTCATTTTCACGAGAAGCATCAGGCTCACTCCCTTCTAGTGTAACTTCATTCACTGCTCGAGATTCGGTTGAGTTCTCAAACGCTTGTGCATCATTACTGTTCATACCACTAAAGTCACCAAACTCGTCTTTGACATCCATTTCCTGAACCTTAGCTAATGGTTCTACAGACAATTTGGAAGTATTGTTGTCATCAAGCTCCACAGGATGCACATCGAATGTGCCAAGACCATCCTCTACAGCATCAGAAGAGGACACTGGCCCAAAAGAAGTCATAACATCACCATGTGCTAAACAGTTGCTTTCCAAATTAACAAACTCTGTCCTCCCTGTATCAGCAGATGCATTTTCTTGAAAGCTTGTATGTTCTTGTTTAACTCCAGACTCGCTAGATACAAGACTCTCTGCAAAATCACCAAACATTTCCTGGTCACTGGTACATGTTTCCAAAACTGGCTCAGGTGCATCTGGTCTCTTACTTTCCAATTCATGTGGGTTTGGGTCTGTCTCAATAGAACCTGTGGTGTGGTTTTCTTTTACTGTGTCCAAAGCTTCATGAACTGACTGTTGAGAACTTTGTTGCCCAGTTTCAATGTATCCTGTTGATTCTGAGGAATTCCACTTACCGTTAGAAATGTCTGTATCAACTGCAGCAGTAAATCCAGAGGAGTGGCACTTGGTGTGGTTTACATCTGTACTTGCACTTTTCCCATTTTTACAATTTAAAGCAGCAAATGTACCTTCTGTTGTCTGTTGTACAACATTCACTTCATCACTATCCATCACAACACTTGGACTGAACTGCATATCTGTGAACTTTCCAAAATGTGAACACTTACCAATATGATGCTCTGTTCTCTGTGACGTTTTAACATGAAGTGGAAATTTGCTAGGATTTTCTTCAGACAGATGAACAGACTCTTCAGTTTTGGAAAATGCAGAAAACTCAGCAAAGTCCTCAGTTGGGCTAGGTGTGGAGTCCGAGAGTTCAGTGCTATGAACACTTCTAGCTCGTTGTTCCTTTAAGCCACTGATGCTGTCAATATCTTTTGTTTCCTGAGGATTTATAGAATCTAATGTTGGGTAGCCATTTGTTAAAATCTCAGTGTGGGTCTTGCTACCGTTGCAGCACTCCTCTGGTTTCTCTGGTTCCATGTTTTTTCTACTAACATTGTCCTTAGTCAGGCTGTCAAGTCCAGGCTCTTTTATAGATTCCTTTGTTTCTTCTTTCGGTGCATCAAACACACTCTTTGATAATTTGTGTTGCGTTACATCTTTGCTAGTGCCGATAGACACTGTAGGCAAGTCAGCAAACCCATCCGCATCCGTGGAGTATTCATGACCAGGCACAAAATGGTTTTGAGGCATAGAATTCTCAGGGTGATGTTTTGAATCAAAGTCGTCAGTAAAACCAAGGCTGGAGGTACCCGAAAAGCCACCAAATTCACCAAATTCATCATCTTCCTCAAATCCATTTCCATCATCTAGTGGGGGTGGTGAAGAGGAGTAAATCCTAATGACTTCCGGCTCCATGGTGTTTCTCCTTTGTCAGTCAAGTCACAACTGTAAAATAAAAAAAATGGATCTCAAGATAAACGGCATTTCAAATTTGAATTTCAAATTTCTTATCAGCAACTAATAGAGTATGGATATGTTCCTATAATTTGTGAAGTTTTGTAGCGTGGTGGTTAGAGCAGTTACCTCGCTAACGAGAGGACCTGGGTTTGATTCCCAGGCAGGGTGATATCTTAGTCAAGTTTCCTTACTCTACATGTCTCTGTTTACCTTCCAGTAAGTAGGAACCTGGTTTAACCAGTTGATTGGCAGATCGCTTTTGGGGGGCACTGCTACGTTTAGCCCACAAAATAGTCACTACACTTTACAATATATTCTGTGAAGCGCTTTGAGACATCTCATCAGCATGATAAGGCACTATATCGAATGCAAGGATCGTTATTATTATCATCATCATTCACTCTTCAATTTCCTATGTAAAGAACAATACTGTTAATACAGCACTGACAATTTTCCACTGGAATATATAGATTCACAACAATTACAAATCAATACTTTGGTTTTGGTTAAAGATCAGTTTGTAAAACTATCCAGTTGCAGTGCTCTGCAAGTCATTGGTAGCTTACAATTATCAAAGGGAAGAATTTGAAACAGAATAATTAAATGAAGTATCAATTTTTAAGATTCACAAGGGGGTTAGACATTGTGATAGACTGAATGTTGTTGTCAAGAAAACTGCTGAATTTCCACTTGCACAAAAAATTAGAATAATCCTTGCATTTGATACAGCACCTTTTATAGAAAGGAAAATCTACACTGCAGGAGGAGGCCAATCAGGCCATGAAGTCTGCACTGGCTCACAGAGCAAGATCAATTCAATCCCACCGCCTACCTCATCTCCATACCCCTTTAAGCCCTTCTCTTTCATATACCTGTCTACTTCCTTCTTGAAAGGTACAATGAATTCCACCTCCACCACCTTACTCAGCAGAGTGTTCCACATCCCAACAACTCTTTGGGTGACTCACTTTCTTGTGAGTCTCATAACTATGTCCCCTAATCACCAACTCCCCATCAATGGAAACAACTTCTTCCTATTATTTTATATTCCCTTATCAAGTAGAGAAAGTTTGTTCTGAACACTACAGGTGATAACTCGCAGTAGCTTTGCTGTCCTTCATTCCCTTCCTCCAAATTCATACCCGTAATCTGTTCTCGAGTCTGCTTGCTAACGGATCATTCTCCGCCTCACCATTTCAGCGTCCTGGGACGCCTTTCTAACCTGAAGGGAGCTATACGAGTTGCAGAGAGAGAGAAGGCAGCCCTCAAAATGTTCCTTCTTCCTGTGGTGCCAAGCTCATGCTCAGCCTCTTCCACTGATGGCATAGGTTCAGGAACTTGCATCACAATCACTCTGTGGCACAAACTGCCTTGCCATCATATTGGATATGTTCAATGGGTAGGTTCAAGTATAACTGGCAAATTAACATCACTTCAAGGACACAATTTCAAAACATTTCAGGAGAAATTCTACAACTGTACTTCAGTGACTAAGTCACCTTAGCAACACTCTCGCCTAGGGGTCGGAAAGTTGTGGATTCAAGCGCCACAGTAGGACACGATCTTGTAGCCGAGGCTGATACACGAGAGCAGTACTGGGGAGTTCTGTATTCTCAGAGGTGGCATATTTCAGAAGAAATATTAAACTGAGGGCCTATTCAGGCAGATGTGGAATGGCCCAAAACACTCTCTCAAAAAGAAAAATGACCTTCTCTTGGTGTCAGGCCAACAATCCTCCAGACAAGTTGCTCCTTCACCTCATGACTGTTTATGGGATCTTGCTGCTGGTGAATGCATCTACAAAAACAGTCACTACATTTGACAGCAAATAGGCTTTGAAAACATTTCAATGCGATGAGTTGCCAAAGAAAGTTCAAGTTTCCTAGTTGATAATTTGTTATTAATTATTTTGATGTAGCACATTGCCAGAAAGTCTCACAGGAAACGAAAGAAGTAGACTAAAGCCAAATGAATACAAACAAACATACAATCTCCCCCAAGCAGATCATGACAGCAAAGTAGAAAGCTGGTTAGGGCAGAAATGTAACAACCTTGCATTCATTCGTTTTAAGTCCCTGAGCTTCCTGCAGTTTGTCAGTTCTGGTTAAGGCTATTAGGTGGAATGCCCGCATTAGGGGGAGCATCTCATCTCTGAGGGGAAAGACATCTTGCGTCACTGATCCTGCTGTCAGCTGCACATAGCTTCAGTTACCTATACTTTCAACAAAGTTCATAGAGACCATCCACTCAGTCAATCATTTGCCACAAATGCTAACAGTTGATACATTTGTGTTTTGGTTAAGCATGTGAAAATGAAAATCTGATACATTACTTAATTGAAGAACAATGCGGAATAAATGTGGAAAACAAAACGTTACAAAAATAGGAGACAAATGCCCTCCTTTTGGCATGCCCTGTTATTGGATATGGAAGATATCTGACGGCAAGAAGAATGGGGCTAAAAATATCAATGAATTAAAAACCTGAAATACTGGAAAAGTCTACTTGTCTCTGAATGAGAAAAGTAGGTTTGATTAGGTTGGGTGAAGATTTACAAAGAATGTACAGGATGGAAACAGGCCACTTGGCCTAACAAATCCATGCTGGTGTTTATACTCCACACGAATTTTCGTCCATTCCTTACCTTCTCCTATATCCCTCTGTTCCACTCTCCCTAAAGTGAAGGTCTAGCTTCCTCTGGAATGAATCTACACTATTTGATTCAACTACCACTTCAGGCAGTGAGTTCCACAACTTACTACCCTTTACATGAAGCAATTTTGGGGGAATACTGCTTTACTGGAGGTGTTAAATTGAGGTCCCATCTGCCTGTTCAGGAAGACATAAAGATATCATAGCACGATTCAAAAGAATAAAGTTTCTCCCCGTGTCCAAGCCAACAATCCCCCAAATAAAATTGATTGATTGGTCATTGGTCATTGATTTCATGGCTCTTTGTGGGACGTTGCTGTGTGCAAATTAGCTACCGCATTTGCACACTCAAAACACTTTACAATATATTCTATGAAGTGCTTCAAGACAATGTGAAAGGTGTTACATCAAAAAATATTAATAATCGAGAACATAAAATGGAGAAGACCTTTTTAAAAATAAAATGGTCATTAATATTAGTTAGGTTAATTAGTAAAATATTCAATTTTTATATTGGTATATTTTAGGATAGTATTCTTAGAATGTAATTGTTAAATCCAAACTGCTTTGTAATTCAAAACGGCTTTAAGTGTCAAGCACAAGGGCCATCCTAAAAGTAAAAGTCATCCTAAAAGTCATCAACAGTGCCCTGGAATACTGCGGACCCATCTGGATCAGGAACCGGGCTACCAAGACCGCCGCAGAGGGCTGGCTCAATTCCGACATTCCATTCTCACATACGTCACCCTTGCAGTAAATATAATTTCTCTAATATTGAATGAATATCCCTTGCTCAGATTCAAGGTACAGAGGTGATTTCACTGCTCCCCTTTTCTATTCCATGTCTATGTTCCATGGGTTTAGTTGCTGGATACAGAATAGGTACAGAAAAGTAGAATCAATTTTAAGATTGGCCTATGGCCTAGTGGGTATAGGTAACAGTACTAGGCATACAGACAAACATTACTTTAAAAACATTACAAAACATTTCTTCACTTAGAGGATAGTGAATTTATGGAATTCTCTACCCCAGAAGGCTGTGGATGCTCAGTCATTGAACATATTCAAGACTGAGATTGATAGATTTTTAAAAACTAAAGGGTTTAAGGGATATGGGGATAGGGCAGGTAAATGGGATTAGGTTAGAAGATCAGCCATGATCTTATTAAATGGCGGGGCAAGCTAGAGGGGCCACATGGCCTACTCCTGCTCCTATTTTTTTTCTCTTCTTATTACAAGTTCAAATCTAGGTCTTAGCCAGGCAGCAGCTGGGATGCTGCAATGCAACTTCACTTATTGTTGCCCAGTTAGGGAAAAGGAGGTTGCCAGCATGCACAGATCAGATCACTATGAAGAGCTTTCACTAGAAGGTGCATATATTTGAACGACAGGTGATGACAGGACTCCAATGCCCCTGCAGTTGAACAGTCTGCTACAACTCAATGAACATAGAACCCTGAGAACGAGTATGAATAATGGACTGCCATCTGAAAAAAACATACAGTAAAAGAAACAAATTTAAGTCGCCAGGATAGAAGAGAAAATTTCCAATGAAAAAAAACATGCAATAAAGATTGCAGTATTCATCTGACGCACAAGAAAAGTACAGCATGACCCTATTATAACGCAGTACTATGGGGTGGTACAAATATACTGCACTTCAGAACAAGTCTGCAATATAAAATATATAGGTTCACCAGCTCTACTTTCAGGTCATCACTTCCCGTTGTAGGTGCAGACTGCCCAGTTTACTCACATGAGCACAAAGCAGGGAACCAACCTGTGACTGCTCTCAAGAAGTTAAAGAAAAAAAGAATCTGTAAGGTGAATGACTGATTCAGAATTTGAGGCCTGGACACCACTTGAAGTTTTCTTCTCTTTTGCAATAGCGCCATGGGATTTTTAATACAAAACTGAACAGCCAAATAGGACCTTTGTTTAACATGTTATCCAAAGGACAACAACTTAAGTCCCAACATACAATACAAAATTACATTTGTAAAAACGCCTTTTACATCGGGAGGATGTCCCAAGGTGTTGAACAGTCAGGGATTAGGACCCGAGCAGGGCAGAGGGGTTGAGATCAGAGAGGGTGGAGGGCAGGGAGGGTTGGGTAGGAGGGTGGCCAAAGGTAAGGTCGAAGAGGAGGGTCTTGAGGCGTGCCTTGAAGGAGGCAAGGGAGGGAGCGAGGCGAAGAGAATGTGCAATGGAGTTCCAGAGGGTGGGGGCAGAGAGGCTGAAGGCCTGACCGCCAATGGTGGGGCAGGCCGGACGGGGGACATGGAACAGGCAGCTGCTAAGCGGAGGGAAACCACAACTTTGGGTTGAGACCATAA